GCTGAAGCTGAGAAAGGAGAATGAAGTGGCTTTTCAAGAGCTGAGGGAAGATCCAGAGTAGGAAGGGAAATTTGAAAACCAGGGTTTAAAAATAACTTTGCCATCGAAGGGCGCCTGGGTGGCTCAGTCGTTAAGCGTCTGCCTTCGGCTCAGGTCATGATCCCAGGGTCTTGGGATCGAGCCCCACATCGGGCTCCCTGCTCGGCGGGAAGCCTGCTTCTCCCTCTCCCACTCCCCCTGCTTGTGTTCCTGTTCTCGCTCTGTCAAATAAATAAAATCTTTAAAAAAAAAAAATAACTTTGCCATCAAACTGCCAATGTTATTTTTTTGAATAAATGGATTTGCAAATCTCTTGAAATTTTATAAGACAAGAAACCTAATGTTACACTTAGGGTCTTTGAATTTGGGGGGATTTCTAAAATACTTTAAGATGTGTGTGGCTGACGGGCGCCTGGGTGGCTCAGTCGTTAAGCGTCTGCCTTCGGCTCAGGTCATGATCCCGGGGTCCTGGGATCGAGTCCCACATCGGGCTCCCTCCTCGGCGGGAAGCCAGCTCTCCCTCTCCCACTCCCCCTGCTTGTGTTCCCTCTCTCGCTGTGTCTCTCTTTCTGTCAAATAAATAAATAAAATCTTTAAAAAAAAAAAAAAAAGATGTGTGTGGCTGATGTATCAGCTACAGCTCCTCCTGAAATACCCAAACTAGAAAATGCCTAAGTACTCAACAAAAGGACACAGTTAAACTATGGCATATATACTGCAACTAAAAACTCTCATTAAAAAGATTATTTTTAAAAAATAGAAAAATGGTTTTAAACAAATACAGAATAGCAGTACACAATCACAACTAGCAAAAATGATGGATGTGATGGAAGTTACAGAAAGGTCAAGATTTTGTTGGGGACATAATGAGAAAGTAAACATATTCAGATACTTTAATGTCATATTGTTATTTCAGTGAAAGTTTTACAAATAAGGAACGCCGATAACGTGGAAGAGTTATTTTCATACATTACCTGAACATTCCCAGCAATTCTGTTGGTCATTCAAATACAGACTAAACACTACTATAATAAACTATATAAACTATAGTTAAACACCACTGTAAGCCCAGTGCCCAAAATAGTGTCTGGAACTTAACAGGCACTTAATACATTTTATCTGTCTATCTATCTATCTATCTATTTAATTTTTATTTATTTTGAGAGAGAGAGAGAGTGTGTGCATGCATGGCGGGAGGGGCAGGGGGAGAGGGGGAGAGAGAATCTTAAGCAGGCTCCACATCCAGCAAGGGTCTGTTGTGGGGCTTGATTTCATGACTGAGATCATGACCTGAGTTGAAATCAAGAGTTGGAGCCAGCCAGAAGCCCTGAAATACATTTTAGATGAATGAAAGAATGGACAGGTACTAGAAAGAGGGAAGGAAAATTGATATGTTAAGGAAATTTGCTTCTTTATCCATTTTGTTGCCAAATTAATAAAACAATAGAAGATGTGAGGTTAAAGAAAGACATCGTAGTGTGATTTGAGGACATTTTTTTCTATTGTTTAAGATTTTATAAAAAGGCAGAAAAGTAATATAAAAAAAGTTTTTTCAGGTTATAATCAGATAATTTGGAGATTACAGAAATGTTTAAAGATGAAAATAATAATCACCTATCCCTAGAGATACACTATTAATACTTTGTTTTATTTCCTTCTAGTGTTTTTTCTACTTATATATGTACAGGTTTTAACAAATTTGGCATCATTTAAATATAGTTTTATATCTTAATTCTGTCTATTGTATTATGAGTATTTTCTTATTCCTTTCAGTAGTAAGTCTTTAAGGACCTGAAGAATAAGATATACCATAATAATTTAAGCAGTGTTCCATTTATTAGACACTTAGAGCTTTCCCAGTGTTTTACTTAATAGTGAAAATACCATTAAAAATATTTGCTACTAAATATCTGCCTCATGGCCCAATTTCTCCTGTCCAACTCTTCCATCTTCCCTTCCCCCATAGGCGCTGATTTGGAGAATCTCTCCTAGTAAACTTCCTGTACACTGTGTCGGTCTTTGAGTTGGGTTCATGGGGAACCCAATTCTGAGGAATTTGGTAATGTTTAGCAGAAATTACATGTGCAGTTCTCCTTTGACTCACCAATCCCATTTCCAGTGATATGGCAAAAATATGAAGACATATACACATAGGCATTTATTGTAGCATAGATATAATAGTAAGAATACTGGAAAAAAATTTAAATATTAAAAACCCGAATGTCTGTCGTTAAAAATTAACTGGATAAACTACATTGCATCTATACATTTCAGTGTAATAAAATATGTAGTGCATATCTATAGGCTATTATGGAGCCATATCCAGAAAATAATGTGTTTTTTTAAAGATTTTATTTATTTATTTGAGAGGGGGAGAGAGCAGAGTGAGAGAGTAAGAGAGAGTGAGAGAGAGAGAGAGAGAGAGAGCATGAGCTGGGGGTAGGGGAAGAAGGAGAGGGAGAAGCAGACTCCCTGCTGAGCAGGGAGCCTGACACGGGGCTCCAGAGACAGGAACAAAGCACAATCTTTTCTATTCATGAAAGGAGCTACCAACATGCTTTGTGCCAGAAAGGTGCACTTTTCCAAGACATAGTCCAGAAGATTCATGGTCTGCTAGAAAGCTTCCACCAGTGACAACCCTATGACAAGGTCTCCAGATATACAGAAAAGAAACGTTAAAGGTGTGATAGAAACCTCACTTAGCAGGGAAATGAAGCCTTATAATCTTTAACTGGCTGGTAGTATGGTTATTTTGCAACTGTTATGTGTGTGTTGTGGCATAAAGCCAATGAGTCATTAAGTTGCTTTCTTTCAGAGCTAGGCTTTTTCATCGTGGGAAAAAAGGAGACAGATACACGGTTGCTGAAATGAAATAAAACCCTGTAGCCCAGAAGTTGAATTTGAAGCATCAGTATGACCTCTTGATGTGTTTATCTTTTAAAAATACTTACTTCTTAGCTCTGCCCACTCAAAAGGCCTGGAAACAATGATCAACCCAGGAGCAGGGAGCACCTCAACAGACTTTGGCTCCTAAACACCATTTAACACTCAAAGAAGGGCAGGCTCCTTGGAGAAATGGCTGATCTTGGGTCTGCGGCAGGAATGTGTAATGTGAGACCAAAACAAGGAAGTCCACTAAGGTTGGGTCAAAAATTTCAGGAGTTCAGGAGCCTTTTTGTGAATAGGCTCACGATGGCCAAACATCAGATGACCAACAAAGCTACTTCATCAGTAGCACTGATAAAGATGATAAATGAAACACATTTATTATGTGAGTATTTCAATCCATGAGTTCACAGTGGAGACCTCTGGAAGATTCTAGGTATCCCCTTGAACCAGTGCTTCGAAAACCGGTTAAAAAGGGGAGAAGAGGGAGAATCCTGCATTCATCCTGCCTTCCCTACACAGACTGAACCACAGCGCAAGCAAATAGTGGAGGAAGGGAAGTTCATTTTTATAGGAGTATTCCAAATGCTAAATGAAAGAAATGCTAGAACTTTTAAACCTACCATTTTATAACCACTAATGAATTAATGGATCTAGGGCTAGGCAATGATGATTAATCACTGCTAATATCACAGTGAGAGAAACAGACATTGTGTCCCATCCTATGGGTAGAAGCCTGAAGGCAGGCAGGCAGAGAAGGAGCCGGGGTCTCTGTCTCGCTCTTCAGGCTGTGTTTCTGACAATCACTGTGTCTCCTCTGAGACCCCAGGTCCCACAGACAGGGCCTCCATCTGGGGTCCCAGCTCCTGCTAGACAGTCCTAGCACGGCACCAGCGTCCACCCCGTGACTCACCCCTGGGCTCCAGGGACATTACCACCTCCCTCTGTTTGTCGAGCTGTTGCTAACCCCTCAGTTACCGTGCGGTCTCTCGTACAGGTTTTCAGCTCTTGCATCACCTGCTTAGTCAGTTCCTCGTATTAAGTCTCTCTGTTGAAATAGCAGTTAGTCCTGACTGATAAGCCTTCCCTGATGACCCTAAATACCCTCCACTCCCTTCCCTGTTACTCTGTCCACTTATCTTGCTTTACTTTCCTGTTAGTTCTTATCAACACCTGCTAGAGTTTCTCTTTATAGGTTCCCTCAGTTGCTTAATTCTGCACTGGAATATAATTGAGCAGGTAGCTGGGCTTGGACTGCTGAATGGGGCCTGGCACACGGTAGTGCTCACACAGATAAATCAATATTCTTTCATCTGTTTGAGAGACACTTGATAAACCCTCTCACCAACCCAGGCACTAGACACGGGAGACAGAGAGGTGAATAAGATAAGCTTTTCTATTTGGCCACAGGACAGAGTAGCAGTCAGAACCCAGCCCCCTTTGGGCCTTGGTGCATTTTAATTAACCTGTTTTTGGTTTGTGGTGGTTCCAAAATAGAGTGGAGAATCACGTGTATTAAAATGGAAGCTCAGGGGCGCCTGGGTGGCTCAGTTAGTTGAGCCACCCAGGAGAGATTGAGAGAACCAAGCGGACTCCTCGCTGAGTGCAGATTCCGACGCCGGGCTTGATCCCACAACCCTGAGATTACAACCTGAGCTGAAACCAAGAGTTGGACACTCAACTGACTGAGCCGCCCAGGCGCGCCTGAGTGTCTGACTCTTGATCTCAGTTCAGGTCTTGATCTCAGGGTTGTGAGTTCAAGCCCTGTGTTGGGCTCCACACCAGGTATGGAGCCTACTTAAAAAAAAGGGGGGGGCGGCTGGGTGGCTCAACTGGTTAAGCATCTGCCTTCGGCTCAGGTCATGATCTCGGGGTCCTAGGATCAAGCCCGCGTTGGGCTCCCTGCTCTGTGGGGAGCCTACTTCTCCCTCTCCCTTTGCCCCTCTCCCTGGCTCGTGCTCACTCTCTCTCTCTCAAATAAATAAAATCTTTAAAAAAACAGGGGAAATCATCGAAGAGAGAGATCGATCTATTGTTAACACGTGTCAGACTCCCTGTTGGGAAATACCACTCACCTGACGTGGAGTGGGATCTTGGGTATCTTCTTAGAGACCTTGAACCGGCCTGTGTCCCCATAGATGTCAGTGAAGTACACTCCGGCCACACTTGTCACCTGGTTCCCAGGGAACCTGGACAGCACGTTGTCAGGACCATGCTGACTGACCCAATGCCAGGCTTGGCCCCCGATGAGCAAGCCGCCTCCACATTTCACAAACTGGATCAGCTCTGCAGTCATCATATCATTGTAGGCATCGATGCAGTAAACCCCCACAGGGGCCCCCACTTCTGGCTGAACTTGTGCCTGAACCCCACAGCCCTGCAGGATACTTACTAGTGATGTCAGGGATGGGTGCACTCCAGTGGGAGCCCCAGGTGAGGGACAGAGCCAATCCACTGCATTACGAAGAAATGGAGCCAAGCCAGCATCCAGCAGGTAGCCCTCATGGGACACCACCACCAGGCGGCCTTGACCATAGGAGGAGGCAGCAATGAGGACCTGGCCCTTGTCATTCACCATCACTGGGAAGGAGGCCTCTCCAGTAAGAAGCAGTTCACATGGGATGGGGTCTTTGGGGACATTCCAGCTGGTCACTCCATGCATGAGGGCCTCGAAAGCACGGGCAGGAGTTGTCACCATGGTTCAACTAGCTGCTGCAGAGAAAATCAAAGACTCAGCTTTGTCAGAACTGATGAAGGACAGAGTGAAAACACACCAACTAAATGCATGTGAACAAAAACCATTTACTGGGTTCCCCACTGTGTGCCGACCACTGGGGGTGCAGCAAGGAACACAGCAGACAAGGGCCCCACTTTCATGAGTCTGATGTTTCAGAAGGGAAAGGACAATAATAGGTAGAGAAACAGATAAATGGAATGCAGCAATTAATAACTGTTATGAAAGTAAACCAGCGATGTGTTATCAAGCCACTGGAGAATTTAGATTTTGCATGACAGGAAAGGCCTAGATAAGGCCGTGACTATGAAGCTGGAACTGACATTTCAACTGAGCTCTGAAATGCTGCAGGAGAAGAGCACACCCAGCCCAAAGAAGCCCCGGGCAGGGAAGCTGGAGAATACCAGGCGGGGAGGAGCAGGACCTGAGTGGCCGAGGGGGGGGCTGGGTCCTGCAGGGCCTGGCAGGAGGTGAGAGCTGGTGTGCAGGACTGGACTTAGTATTGTACTGCATCTCTGTGGACGAAAAGGTCAAGTGACCTTTCAGAAACTGCATTTTTGGGGATAGTTTTGACAAAATGAGTTGATACACCTGCCCTAACCTGTGGGTAGCAATCTGTGGTTTCCAGAGGTCTTTTAAAATTCGGTGTACCTAAAATTGAGCTCATTATTCCCTTAAAGCAGCTCCTCTTGGATAAATGACTTAAGCCTCAGTTTCCCCATTTATAAAAAGAATAATACACCCCTTGGAGGACTGTTTTTGAAGACCAAGAGAATGCACAGAAAAACACCCTGTTGTGAGTACACAGTGAGCTCTGAGGAGACACGAGGGTCTGCCCCTATGCTGACCTTTCTGGCTTCCTCAAGTGACAAGGGCCATGCCCTGGGTCCCCTGTCCACGCCCCTCCACCTACCTCTGACTTCAGCAGCCACCATGGAGGAATTTCCTGAACGCTCGGATGCCTTCTCACTTGGGCAGGTGCACAGGGGCAGCCCTGAAGTGGCAGAGAGCCAACACCCAGGGAAGTGGGGGGCGTCAGGGACACACGCCACGGTGGCGGACCTCACGTGCGTCCGGAGTTCCTCACAGGAGGAGCTGAGCTCCAGCTGCCCACGGTGGTAGACAGTTCAGCCATGTGCCCTTCACTGCCTTTCCCTCCTTCCTGGTCTCTCTGTCCCCACGTCCTCAATCGGGCATTCTGGGCTCACTTCCCAAACACACTACCTGACTCAAGTTCTTGTAGCAGACTTTACTTTGGGGAAGAAACTAAGACACCAAAGCTCACCTCTGCCTTTGCCTCCTTCCTTCCTCTCTCCTGTTTCCATACACAGCCAGCCACCTACCTCACTTTGTTCATCGTCTGTGGCCGGGGTCTCTCAAACATCAGTGCCCTCAGTCTGTAGTCACATCTACACTAAATGGATCTGGCTTTAGTCCCAGGATGGATTCTCACCCATAATCTTCCTCAAGCCATCCTACCCACTTCTCTTCGTAATAAAAACCCTCCAATTGCATCCACTCCCCATAAGGTAAAAGCTGAGTGCCTCCAGGGATCTGGGCTCTCTGCCGTTTTCCAGACTTTTTTCCTGCTACATTCTCCACAAACCTCTAGCAGGCTTGGCATCCCTGAGCCTGCCTGGTATTTCCTGTACAAGGACAGCTCCTTTCCACCCCCTAACTTCTCTTCCCATCTAACCACTTGTTTCTCAGCAATGCTCCCAGGAAAGTGAATTCATAAAAGAGAACCAACACCCACATGGAGGGAGCATCATGGGGCACGTGGGTGATCTCTGCTTTCCCGTGTAGCAGTGGACAAAAGCAGCGAAAGAGGTCAGGACGCCTGAGGTCAAGATCATGGTAACGACCTTTGAAAGAGAAGTCTTTTACTAATCTGGACCTCTATAGTTTAACGGGAAAACAGACAAACCCAGGAGATGAGTAATAGTTCCTCCGAACTCTTGACTTCCACTCGCTAGAAGTAGGTGCGCGCACGCGCAGACACGCACACATCCGTGCACACGTCCATCAAATTCCTGACTCACCAAGTCCAAAGAGGCAAAGAAACCGTGTTTGGAGACAAACAGCAAGTAGCGCAAGACTGGCTAAACGAAACGAAACCCTGGACCTAAGAAGAGAGAAACACGCCGACTGAGGGCACGTTCTTGGGCATGCTTCTGGCACCTCGGGGCGCGCCAGCGTGCCCAGGTGCTCGGTCCCCGCCCCAACCGCAATGCTCTCGGATTGGCAAACTCACGATCGGTATTCGGATGTTCAGCACTGGCTCCGGGCGCTCTGGATTTTTGCAGTGGCGCAGCGGGCGGTCCAGGGGCTGGGTGGAAGGGTTGGGCTGGGCGCAGTTGGGGTGGTCCAGGTGCCTGGTTGGAGAGGGCGCGTGGGGCAGGGCGCTTCGCGGCGCGCGGTCTGGAGGTGGAGCTGGCGGGCGCAGCGGGAGGTCTGGGGGCCCTGTAGACGCGGCTGGGCGGCAGTCCGGGGGGCGGGGCGCGGCGGGAGGTCCAGAGGCCGGCGGGGCGGGGCGCGGGGCTATTGGGGCGGTTCGGGGCGGGGCGGGCAGGGAGCAGAGGACGCCCAGGAGTCGCCTCCGCGAGGCGCCTCCCGACCGGATGCCCTTGGAGCGGTGTCGCGGCTTGCGGGGCTCCTTCGGGGTGCGCCGCTAGTCCTCCCAGGAGGCGACCCCTCAATGTGCAGGGGTCGGGGCCGAAAGCGGCTCTCTCAGGCCCTCCGAGGGTTCCGGGGTACGAGAGGGAGGTTTGCAAAGTTGCTGTCACGCTTGGTGCGGAAAGCAAACGCCAAGTTCCCAGTAAACCAGATTCGGGGTAAATAACGCCCAACTGCAACGTAAGCCGCGGCCGACGGTTTGTCGCGTGGAATCGCGCCTCTCCCCTCCGGTCGTGGGGTGCAGCCCGGGAGAACCGCGGCTCCTGCTTTGCAGGGCTGCCCCCTGGTGGTCAGCACCCGCCCGTGCACCCCGTGCGGACGGAGATTCAAAGCCGGCCAGGGAGCTCAAGCTAGAGAACTGGGTCTGGGAGTGTAATAGAAATCTGTGCCAGAGATGTTCTTGCTCCAGGAATTTTCTTTAAGTTTATTCAACGCAACACTCCTTCCTATCAAAGTGAAATTTCCTTCTCCTAGAAAGTGACTCAGCCATCACTTGCCCAGAAAAGAATTTCATAACCTCCAGAAAAGAATTTCATAACCTCCATAACCTACCAAATCCTCCTCCTCACTACACCAAATAACCTCTGCTTCTTATTCATACCCAGGTTGCGATGCCGCACTTGTATGACCACCGATTATCGTTGGTTTCTCTCATAGTCTCTCTTGCTGTGAGTGTAGCATCTGTCTCCGCTGTACTCATCATTACCTAGTTTCATTTCTGTCATGTAGTAGGCTTTAGTTTCTTAATACATAAAAGTGTGTGACTGAATAAATAAGCATATAGTGAATGTTCAAGAGATGTCTGCTGAATTAGTAAATAACTGAGTCTTGGAGGACTAGTGGAAATCTGTTTGGCAGAGGACCAAAGTGCAGTCAGGTTTCAGAAAGAAAAAGCAAGGAGAAACCTACACAAGGAAGGCAATTTGGAGAAGACCCATCGGAATTTCAGGATACTTCAGGGTAGAAGCCTAATGTGAGCTGAGGTTAGTTGAATTCTTAGATTATAGGCGAGGAAACAAGCCTTTGGGAAGCAAAGTGGAGCGGGTCGCTGAGGGAGTGTGTCAGGAGAGTTCCATGTCAAACGCTAAGTTGAGGGAGGGGCTCTACAGTTTTAACCAGACTCTACCTACATCACTGTCTTTATGGTAAAGTACCACTATTCTAGAAAAGACTCCTGAGAGTATTTTGGTGTTGATCTAATAGAAGAAAGGGTTTTAAACAAAGGTGATTTTTTTCCAGGGCCAGAGAGCAAAAGGTACCTGTGGTCATCGAAGTATCTGCCATTTGGGAGGAGTTGGCCGAAGAATGGAAACAAAACAACATAGGAAACTGCATGAAGGTACATTTGTTTATTTATTTGTTTTAAATTTTTTATTTCAGTTCAGTTAGCATATACTATATTATTAGTTTCAGGGGTAGAAATCAGTGATTCATCAGTTGCATATAACACCCAGTGCTCATTACATCACGTGCCCTCCTTAATGCCCATCACCCAGTTACCCCATCCCCCCCCACCTCCCCTCCAGCAACCCTCAGTCTGTTCCCTACAGTTAAGAGTCTCTTATGGTTTGCCTCCCTCTCTGTCTTTATCTTACTTTATTTTTCCTTCCCTTCCCCTGGGTTCACCTATTTTGTTTCTTAAATTCCACATAAGAGTGAACTCATATGGTATTTGTCTTTCTCTGACTGACTTATTTCGCTTAGCATAATACCTTCTGCTTTCATCCACATCGTTGCCAATGGCAAGATTTCATTCTTTTTGATGACTGAGTCATATTCCATTGTATTTATATATACATACCACATCTTCTTTATCCATTCATCTGTCAATGGACATCTGGGCTCTTTCCATATTTTGGCTATTGAAGATATTGCTGCTATTTTTCAAAGGTCCATTTAAAATGTCGCAAATGAAAGATGGTGGCCAGCATGGGCCTAACTAAAGGGTGTGAAGGTGCAGAACCCCAGGCCCTTCCTACAACCTGGGAGAAAACAGAGACTCCTCCATGAAAGTCAACATATTCTCATTGGGCAGGAGTTCTGTGAGGTGCTCTGGGAGATGGAAATGATACTACAGTCAATAAATCTAAGAAGACAGTAGATGTGAAAGAACCATAATACCATTAGGATTTATGTAGGTGTCAAAGTCAGCTGCAAGATAAGTGCCGGGGAAGAGAAAGGAAGAAACAGTGGTTTCTAGTCATCAGAGATGAACTTACAGGGAAGGGGACGCTAAAACTTAGCTTTGAAAAAAACATAAATGTTGTGTGTGGGCAGAGAAGAGTGGA